ATCTCATTGACATCCTTCCCGGTCCTGTTCTCTGCCACCCACCGCCCCTCACCTAAGTCAGCAGGCAGTGTGGGAAGCGGAGACCAGCCTTCTCTGCCTGGGCACCCACTGCTTTACCCACCTGCTTTGTGCTTGAGCTTAGTAACCCATACAGTCGGTGGTGTAGTGACTCAGCTGTCATGTGCTACAGGTAACCAAGAACCCATTCACACTGGGTGACAGCTCGAACCCTAACCAGTCGGAGAAACTGCAGGACTTTAGCCAGAAGTTGGAGCAGGTGAGAGGACGTGGGCCGTTTTCAAAGATCCTAATTTCCCTGCTCTTTAAACTTTTGGGACCCGCACCTTGTAAACTGCGTTGGCTCTGTCCGGCAGTCATAGCCTCTTCCTTCCGGGATCAGTGTAAGAGTTACCTGCTGTGTCCTCCTCTCCTGTAGATCATCGAGGGCAAGATGAAGGCCCACTTTATAATGAACGATCCAGCAGGAAACAGCTACCTGCAGGTACAGTAGGCCTTCCGGGTGTTCTGATCTTCGTAGAATATGCATGGTAGCCCTTGACAAGGAAAGACTGGCTTCTAAGTGACTGCTTCAGCTGGGCTTTGGGCAGGATGTGGACGACAGGAAGAGTGGGAAAGGTGGGAGGAATTTCAAGTGTGTGTAATGAAAGGTAAATAGGCCAGAACTAGTGCAAGTCTGTGATCTGAGCTGCTCAGGAGGCCATGAAGATTGCAAGTTCAAGACCAGCCTGTGCAGTTTAGTGAGAGTGTCTTAAGATAAAAAAAAAAAAAACCCCTAGGACTGGAGAGATGGTTCAGCAGTTAAGAGCACTGGCTGCTCTCTCAGAGGACCTGAGTTCAATTTCCAGCACCCACATGTCAGCTCACAACTGTATAACTCCAGTTCCAGGGGATCCGATACCCTCACACAGACATAACAAGAATCCACAGAAAAAAAATAAAAGTAAATAAATCATTAAAAAAAAAAGTAAGTGCCTACCCAGCTAGCGTGCTCAAACCCTAGGTTTAAAAGTGAGTAAGAAAGTAAGCTCTCTTCTTCCTGTGTCTGGTCGTCTTGTTTTTTCCTCTTAGCCTCAGCTTTGAGGTTTCCATTCTGCATCTCTGTGAAGTAAGGAGCAATAGAGTCCTGTCTAGCAGTCAGGACAGAACTGCTGAGAGATGTTAACCTGACTGGGCAAGCGTCTGTTAACTAATATAACTATAGCAATATTTTGTTGTTGTTTGTGGTGTTTGAACCCAGGGCCTTATCCTTACTTTAATATTAATGAGTACTGATGGGGCTGGCAAAACTGGCCTAAGTTATATATCAAGACCATTGCTGTAATCTCTCTGTCCCCTCCCTCCCTCCCTTCCTCCCTTTCTTCTCCCCTACCTTCTTTTTTTGAAATAAGACCTTGTTATGTAACCTGGCTGGCTTTGAACTTGTAATCGTTCTGCCTCAGTCTCCAGAATGCTGGCATTATAAGCAATCGCCAGCTTTGGCTACATTTTTTTACAAGAAGGCCCATATATAAAAATGCTTGGAACTGGGGGTGTAGGTCATCGATTGAACACTTGTATGCCATGTACAGAGTCTTGGGTTTGATACTAGCACCCCCTGCATATATATATATATATGCAGACTGTGTGGACGTGGGTGCGAGAGGCCCTACAAATCCCATGGAGTTCTTAGAAAAGTGAGAGTCAGTCGCAGCTGTGGGAGGGGATGGTGGGGTGCAGGGCACTGATTGTCTGCCCTTGGCCTTGCAGAATGTGTACGCCCCTGAAGATGATCCAGAGATGAAGGTCGAGCGGTATAAGCGTACCTTTGACCAAAATGAGGAGCTGGGGCTCAATGACATGAAGACAGAGGGCTATGAGGAAGGCCTGGCCCCGCAGCGGTAGCAGTGCCCAGCTCCCAGGACAGCCTCAGTGCCGCCAGCACCACAGGCTGATTTATGACTGTTGGCAAACAGAGCGTCCAAGCCCTTGCCCATGGTGAGGAGGATGTCGCTTGAGCCAGGGATCTAAGCACACGAGGTGAGCGGCTGGCAGGGCAGCTGCAGGCCTGCCGTGCTCCTTGACCTTCTTTTGGAGGTTTGAAGTTGGTCTGAGAAGAACCCCAGAAACACCTTGCGGTCTGCCTTCACCTTTTGTCTATCAGCTCTCTATCCTTTGGTGCTGTGCCCCTGAAGTTCGGTGCAGTGAAATACACATTACAGCTGGCTTCCGGCTTTCCTGACTTTGAGCAGGAAAGAACTTGGGGCTGGGGGTCTATGGAGCATAGGTGAAGATGCTTACATTAAAGTGATGGCTTGTAAACATCTGCCTCTGTGTTCACTGTGTCCTTGCTGAATATCATGCTGTTAGAATCCAGCAGCCTAAGCTGGCCATGGAGGGTCATACCCATAATCCCAGCACTCAGGAGACCGAGGCCACTTTGGGCCATGTAGTGAGATTTTGTCTTCAAAAAAAGAAGAGGAAGAAAAAGAGTTTCCCAAACAAATCTTTCTTCATGTGGCTGCTGTCACTAGGCAGTCCGAGGCAGCATTTTATTCATTCCAACAGACCATGCTTGTCTACTCTGAGCCAGGGATGCCTGCGTGGATCCATCCATTTCATGGAGCTTAAAGTCAGCCAGGGAAGCCAGGTGTGGTGGCGTACACCTTTTTCTTTTTTTTTTTTTTTTTTTTTTTTTTTGGTTTTTCGAGACAGGGTTTCTCTGTGTAGCTTTGCGCCTGTCCTGGGACTCACTTGGTAGCCCAGGCTGGCCTTGAACTCACAGAGATCCGCCTGGCTCTGCCTCCGAGTGCTGGGATTAAAGGCGTGCGCCACCACCGCCCGGCAGTGGCGTACACCTTTAATCCCAGCAGATGAAAGCAGGTGAGTTCGAGGCCAGCCTGGTCTACAGATCAAGTTCCAGGACAGCCAGGGCTACACAGAAAAACCCTGTCTTGAAAAACAAACAAAAAAGTCTAGTGGGGGAACCGACAGTAACAGACAGGGAAGAGAACATCGGAGTGAAGTGAGAAGGGAAGGTCATAGTTTATGTGAGTGAGACTAAGTGAAGTTTTTTATGAAGAGTCTGAAGACCAAGTTAGCAAATGACTCCTAAACTTCAAAGCTTTCTTGTGTGTGTGTGCATGTATGTAATGATGTGTGTGCATGTATGTATGTAATGATGTGTGTGCATGTATGTAATGATGTGTGTGCATGTATGTAATGATGTGTGTGCATGTATGTAATGATGTGTGTGCATGTATGTAATGATGTGTGTGCATGTATGTAATGATGTGTGTGCATGTATGTAATGATGTGTGTGCATGTATGTAATGATGTGTGTGCATGTATGTAATGATGTGTGTGCATGTATGTAATGATGTGTGTGCATGTATGTAATGATGTGTGTGCATGTGAAGGGCAGAGGCGGACACTGGGGAATCTGTATCACTCTGTCTTTAATCCTGGCACTACACAGATAAACCCTGTTCCAAAGCAAAAAAACAAACAAACAAAAAAACCCTAACTGGATAACCTGCACCATATGTGGCTGGCCTCTGCTAGCAAAAGTCAAAATCTGGCAGTAGGAAGATGAGTGGGCTCCTGTACTTTTTCAAACTAGTGTCTATAAAGAAAGCTAATAAAACTGAAGGCTAGGCCATGGTGGTACAGGTATGTAGTCCAGCTACTTAGGACGCTGAGGCAAATTCAAGATCAGGCTGGGTGGTGGTGGCACACAACTTTAACCCCAGCACTTGGGAGGCACAGACAGGTGGATCTCTTGAGTTCGAGGCCAGCTTGGGCTACAGAGTGAGTTTCAGGACAGTCAAGACTACACAGAGAAACCCTGTCTCAAAAAATCAGAAAAAAAAAAAAAAATCAGCCTGGGCAACTTAGCAAGATCATGTCTTCAGAATTCAGAAAGGGATGGGAGATGCAGTTCTATAAAACTCTTGCCTACCCTGTGCAAGGCCCTGGGTTCAATCCCCAGTACTGGATGGAATAAGAAACAGAATTGTGGGGGTCAAGTGAAGATTCATAAAACAACCCTCTATAGAAGAAGTAGCTTTCTTTTTCTTTTTCTTTTTTTGGCTTCAAACTCACAGAGATCCACCTGCCTCTGCCTCCCAAGTACTGGGATTAAAGGCCTGCGCCACCACTGCCCGGCTCTTTTCTTTGCCACACTGACAACAAATCCATGTCATTTTTATTGGGGAGATTTTATACCATTTTCTTGAGAGGCAATACCAAACGTGAAAAGGTCAATACAGGTTTGATGAAACCTATCCATTTTTCATAGTCACAACACATAGGGATGGGATTTGTTTGACTTCCCCCTAAATGGTACTTGGAAGCCTGTTCCAGCAGACTGTGCATCAAAAGGTATTTATACCAATAAAGATAACTGAAATAAACTAATTGTGCTGGGCACTTCTAAGCATTTGGCACAGCATCCATTATTAAAATGCCGTTCAATAACTTGCCCCTACTGGTACAGTTATGATCGGGCCCCATATTCAAACAGGTGCCCTGACTGAGTTTTTGTTCTTCTCTGGCGCAGAAACCGTCAGGGCAGGATCCAGTTAAGTCGGCCTGCGGCTGGGACAGTGCCGCCTGAGGGCGTTGCACGGATGCGTCATCACAGGAAAGCAGAAGCGGCCCCAGGTGCATGCACGCCCTCCTCTGATCCTGCAAAGGCTTTTTTAGAGTCATCACACCCAGTCATCAGCCCAGTAGTTCCGCATGTCCCACTCCCAGGGCTTCCGCTCCTGGCTCCACCCCCATCCGTTTCCCGTAGAATTTTGTCCCCAGCGCCGAGCCGTTGCCCCGCCCTCGCCGCTGCCATGGCGGCAGCTCCGCCGCTCTCTAAGGCTGAGTATCTGAAGCGTTACTTGTCTGGGGCAGATGCCGGCCTGGAAGGAGGTCCAGAGTCCGTTCGGAAGCGGCGCAAAAAACGGCCGAAGCCGGGAGGCGCCGGTGGCAAGGGGTGAGTGGACTGGTGTGGCGTCGCGCTGCCCCGGTGCGCCCTCGGCCGCAGCTCTTCCTCCTCCTCGTCCGCGCGGCGCTCCGAGCGCTGCCGACCCCGGCCCGAGCCCAGGCCCAGCTCCTCTGCTCCGGGGCGGGCTTCTCGCCGCCGCCTGCAGCGCAGACCTCAGCCTCTGAACAGCCCCTTCCATGTGTTAAGGCCAGCTAGAACTTTCCTGTTTTCCCGCCTCTGTAGCCTTGCATCGTCTCTCGAACAGACTGAAAGTCGCGCCCTGAGAATAGTAGAGCTAATACAAAGCCCCAAGTGCTTGCATTTTTTTAACAAAAATTTTGGGATCCAAAAAATCTGTTTCTGGGGGCTTCAAAGTATCAGGAACTGACCTGGAATCAAAGATCCAAGTCCTGTTACTCTTAGCTACTACTAACAGTAACAACTAACATGGATACAGTTCCTATCATATGCCTGGCCTCTTTCCAAAAACTTCGACCATATAACTTTCAGAACGTTGTGATAAAGCAGACATTGTTTTAAATAATATACTTTCCAGGTTCAAAAGAGAGGTGTGCTGAGACAGATTTCAGATGAAATATCCTGTAGTGACTTGACCACTGGAATCTGGAAAGGTTGGGACAGGAGATGGAACATCAGCCCACAGAATAAAGGAAACTTCTTAGACTTTAGAGCAGTGGCTCTAAGTTTAGCAGCTCACTAAGAAGGTACTATTTTGGATACAAGGTCAAAACTCTGGAAGCTAATCCTATTCTTACACCTCACCCTGGGTCTGCTACTTTCTAGGAGTTTAGCAGCTTAGAGAAGGTGCTAGAGAACATAAAGTGTGGCTCATCACCCTCTATGGGGGCAGCATTGTGATCTAACGTTATTAGTCCCATATCTCAACTGAGAAAATTTTGTGGCCCATTGAAGTGGGTAGACTAATTCCCCCTTTGCCCAAATTTATCTTCATTTGGAACTTGAGCATGACATCATTTAGAGATGGAAGCTTTGTGGTGTTACCAGTTGAGCCTATATTCAGTTAAGGTGGGTGCTACATTCAGTGTGGTTGACACCCTTGTAAGAAGGAGCAATGCCATGCAGGGAAAAAATTTTAAGCTTTGGACAACACTGATTAAGTATCATACATTCCTGGCTTTTCAAATACCTCTTTGCAGCACAGTTTATCTGTGTGAATCACGTTTATTGGATGCTGTCATATAAACAGACATTTCCTGTCCCCACCGCCCAGTCCCAAATAACTGACACGAGGCTAAATATGAATTATAAATACTCGGATGATAGCTCAGGCTTGTTACTAGCTAACTCCTACATTTTAAGTTAACCCATATTCTTTATGCTCTGTCACGTGGTAGTACCTTCATTAGCATGGCACATTCATCTCCTGCTCCCTCTGCTTCTGGCTGGCAATTCCTGACTCCACCCTTCTTCCCATCATCCCTAGTTTGGTTGCCCCGCCTATACTTCCTGCCTGGCTACTGGCCAATCAGTGTTTTATTAAACCAAGTTGAGTGACAAATCTTTACAATGTGCAAGAGGATTATTTCACAGCACTGTCATCTTTCAGTAGTTGTGGACTGGTTCCTCAGTCCACAGGTACTTCAGTTCCTCCACACAATGATATGGTATTTGTGGGTAAACTATTCACATCCTCTTTAAATCACTACAACTTAGATGGTGTACTGGATGGTTTTGTGCATCAACTTGACACAAACTAGAATCATCAGAGAGGAAGGAGCCTCAGCTGAGGAAGCGCCTCCATGAGATCCAGCTGTAAGGCATTTTCTCAATTAGTGATCAATGGGGGAGGGCCCAGACCATGGTGGGTGGTGCCGTCTCTGGGCTGGTAGTCCTGGGTTCTATAAAAAAGCAGGCTGAGCAAGCCAGTAAGCAGCACCACTCCATGGCCTCTGCATCAGCTCCTGTCTCCAGGAGCCTGCCCTGTTTGAGTTCCTGTCCTGACTTCCTTCAGTGATGAACAGTATTACTGAAGTGTAAGCCAGATAAACCTTTTCCTCCCCAACTTGCCTTTTGGTCATGGTGTTTTGTCACAGCAACAGAAACCTTAACTAAGACAGATGGTGTGTCAGTAATTGTTACATTATTTAGGGCATTGTAACCAAAGAAAGTCTGTATCTATTTAATACACTGGTAATTTTCTTTTCCCTGGGTATTTTTAATTGTGTTTGATTGAATTTGCAGTTGCAGAATCCATGAGTATGGAGGGCTGACTATCTCCTATGACAGTTGTGTTGAAGAGGCCTTGATGAACAAAAATGCCTTAGTCAGCAGTATGTGGTGGTAGATGCTTATAACCCCAGAACAGAGGAGGCTGGGGCAGGAGGATAGCGTTTGAACCTAGCCATAGTGAGAGTATCTGAGAGGGGAAAGTCAGCAAATAAAAGAATGTCCTAGCCCTTGGCTGTTGGAGCTTAGAATTCAATGGGAATGTGGGCTTTATACAACCAATGATACAACAGTTGATTCAACTCATTTGATAAATACAAATGAAAACATTCTAAGAGTGTGTAGAGGGATTTCTAGCCTGGGAATAGTGAGCAAGAAAGATACATCCAAGGAAGTTATTCAATGCCAGGGCCCAAAGAAAATGAGATCCCTGGTTAAGAGGGGGAAGGGGTTTGCGTTTGTGAAAACTGGTAGAGTAAGAAATTTGACTCATTCCAAGATGGACAATGATGGACTGGGAGTTGGCATTCATCTTTAATCCCAGCACTCGGGAGGCAGAGGCAGGTGGTTCTCTGAGTTCGAGGCCAGCCTGGTCTATGGAGCAAGTTCCCGGACAGCCAAGGCTGTTACACAGAGAAACCCTGTCTCCAAAAAACAAAACCAAACAAACAAAACAATGGACAGTGATGGAGTGAAATTTCAGTAGCAGTCCGTATAGACAAAGACTGTGCCTTGCTTTTGAACTTTAAAAGCCAATAGGGGGCCGGGAGATGGCTCAGCGCTTGGCACGCAAGCCTGACAACCTGAGGTCAATCCTTTGAACCCACATGATAGAGAGAGAGAACTGACTCCTGCAAGTGGTCCTCTGATTTCCATATGCATGCTATGGTACATATCTATACCATCACACATACACAATAAATAAACGTAAAAACAATAGGTAAGTGTACCTAGGCCTGTATCCCAGAATGAGTTCCTTTTTGAGCCTTTTATTGTTCCCATCTAGAATGCGGATTGTTGATGATGATGTGGGCTGGGCAGCTATCTCTACCACTAAGCTGGAAAAGGAGGAGGAAGAGGATGGAGATTTGCCTGTGGTACGTATCTTTTGGGGTCTTGTCAGGACTTTGAAACGATCCAAGCGTCTCAGTGTGAGATAGAGTTGTAGGGGGAAAGCTGAGCACGGGAAGAATGACATGTAAAAAGCTGTTTATCCCTGGTTTAGTCCATGATGCTCATACAAATGATCCCCAAGGAATGACTTGGCTGTGCAGTGGTGTGAACGTGATGAATTTTCGGCCGAAATGGTTCTGAATTTTGATCTTCCAGGCTAGCACTGTTCGGGTATGATATTCTCATGATGGGCAGTAGAAGTGAGTCATGTGATCACAAGGAGAAACAAGCAATTCTCTTCATGTAAGAATGACTGATAGACTTAGTTTATTGAGTACTGACCATGTACCAAGCACTGCTAAGTGAACACAAAGGATCTCATTCAGTCTTCAGAACAGTCCTTTGAGCCCTGCTTTTAGAAATAAGGGCATTGAGCCAGGCAGTGGTGGCACATGCCTTTAATCCCAACACTCGGGAGGCAGAGGCAGGAGGTCCAATCTCATCACTTTCATTAACTACCCAATCATTTATATTATTAAATTCTACTACCACCTCTATTCCATTATAATAACTTATTACATCTATAACACTTAACTGTTAAAATACCCACTACCAAAACTCCCAACACCATCCAATTAGACCTCCCCCCCACCCAAGCCTCAGGCTATTCCTCTGTAGCCATAGCAGTTGTATACCCAAATATGTAGTCTACAGAGTGAGTTCCAGGATAGCCAAGATTCACGGAGAGACCTTGTCTCAAGCAAACAAAAAACAAAAAGAAAGAAAGAAAGAAAAGAAAGGAATAAGGGCATTGAGACTTGAGATACTTTGCCAAAGGTCACACCAAGACTAAGTGACAGAACTCAGTTGATCCAGGTCTCAGTTCACCCTACATTAAAGCCATGCTTTCTGTGCCCAGGGATAGAGCTCAGAAGAAGATTATATGAGGAGTGATGGTGGGATTTGGGAGCACAAGTAGTCCAGAGGAATTATGGCCTGGATTTGAGTTCCATTTTACAGTTTGCTAGTCTACGCTCATTTCATTTCTCTGAGGCACAGTGTGCTGGTCAGTGGCCTTGGGTCTTTCTTGGCATGAGTATGGTGAGGATTGAATAAGATAATTGTGAAATAGTGTCTTGCACAGCTGTTCTCTGTAACTACAGTTTACTTATGCCAGCCACTTTGAAGGTCTCTCAAATAAAGGGATGAGAGGTTAGCGTTAGGATGGAGAAAACGAAGTTATGTGAGGGTAGCTGTGGGACCAATAAAACTAAGACTGCTCTAACACTGACCGTGGACTGACTTGAAAGGCGAGTTCTCCGTCACGGAGAAGTCTATGAGTCATCATGATCATTTATATAGATTAGGGAGTTTGGAGGCTGTCCCTGAACATTCTATAATTTGGTGTGTGGCCAGTAGTTCCCTTTAGTTGGATTCAAGACCTATCATTGTGACTACTCACAGGAGAGGATTCATAAGGACCCAGATCTTTGATTAGTGATAGGCAAGTTAGGAAGGCAGTGTTCTCACTGTGTGTGAAAAATAAAAATGTGAAAGGAATTGAGCTTTTCACTTACAAGTGGCAGTTATGTGCCAGCACAGTTACTAAAAAGGTTTGTAATGATTTTATCTTTGGAGAAAGGTCTGCAATTAAGTTATCAAAGTGACAGTGAGATGTTCATGGGACAAAAATAACTGGGCACTGCTGCATGTTTCTTTATGGCACACACAAGGGTGTGTGGGCACTGTGTGTTAGGAACAGGACCAGTTATGGCTCCAGGTTCTTGAGACAAGTGTTCCTTGGCTGGATTCTGTGTTTTTCCTAACTGTAGTATCCCTACTCCTACAGGTGGCCGAGTTTGTGGATGAGCGTCCAGAAGAGGTAAAGCAGATGGAGGCCTTCCGCTCCAGTGCCAAATGGAAGCTTCTGGGAGGTGAGTGTCAACAGCAGATAAGTCTAAACTTGGTTTATAGGGTAGGTCCCTGTATAGGTTCTTGCTTTAGAGAAGTGGTTCTCATCCTGTGGGTCATGACCCCTTTGGGGGTTGCCCATCAGATATTATATTATAATTATATTATTTCATATTACAAATTACGATATAGATACTTCACAAAATTACAGATATGAAGTAGCAATGAAATAATTTTATAGTTGGGGTCACCACAACATGAGGAATTGTATTAAAGGGTCGCAGCATTAGGAAGGTTGAGAACCATTGCTCTAGAGGAATGCATTGTTTCATTGTGTCAGTGATTATGAAGAATATGGTGAGAAAAGGTGTCAGGACTTCTGGAGGAGGACGTGGGGAGTTAGAGGCTGACTTGTCAGAACATGACTGTTTAGAAGCCTTTTAGACCCGTTCCTCCCTGTACCACAACAGGGAGCAGTTGGTGGACAGCGGGACCTTGGGAGGAGTTTATAAGAAACAGGAAGAGCATGGAGACCCAGGCTTCCCACTGTTGTAGAATGACGACGCTCACATGAGTCAGGGCCCCGAGTTCTGTCCTTTTGGTTTATGTCTGTATTTCTGTTCTGCCTTTGTCCATAATAAGGCTCTCCTGTCTCCCCCCCCTCCTTGTTTTTCTTTTCTTTTAAACTTTTGAGACAAGGTCTCACAGTCCAGGCCACTGTGCTTGGGTTTTCTTTTCTTTGTTTTGAGACAGGGTTTCTCCACGTAGTTTTGGTGCCTGTCCTGGATCTTGCTCTGTAGACCAGGCTGGCCTTGAACTCACAGAGATCCGCCTGCCTCTGCCTCCCGAGTGCTGGGATTAACGGTGTGCACCACCACCGCCCGGCTGGGTCTTACTTCTTGAGACCTGTTTAACTTCAGGAGGTTCCTGGTGCTTGCTCATTTCTCACACGCAGGTCCTGAAAGAATTGGCTCCTAAATGGGGTTTGTCTTCCTGTGTTAGCCTCTGTGCCATTAGGTAACACCCTGCTGCTCCGATGGAAAGCAGTGCACTCCACAAATGCCCCTGCACCCTAGATAGATGAGTGGTTCTTTCCTCAGTTCATTCAGTACATTGCCTTGTCACTTAGCTTCACGAGTGACAGCTTTGTTCTCATGACGACTTTATCGGAATTCTTTTCAGTCTGACCCATTATTTTGTGCCTTATGGTTGTTTCCCCATCTTTTCATTACTTGTCTGAGGGAGAGAGAGAGAGAGAAAAAAAAAATGCGTGTGTGTGTGTGTGTGTGTGTGTGTGTGTGTGTGTGTGTACGTGTACGTGCGCATGTGCTTGTGCTTCCTTGTCTGCATGTCTAAGAAGTCCCACATGTACATGCACACACACAGCCCTTTCTCTTCTCCCTTACTCTTACTACCCTGCCTCAGTTTGTTACTGGAAATATCCGCCCTGACGTCCTACACCTCCTCCCTTTTTATACATGGGATTGATCGGCCTCATACACGGATTCACTGTTATTTCCTCACTGACGTCAGTCTGGTCAGATAGGCTATTCCCCAAAGTGATGGAGTTGACTTGGTTTGAATTATCTGTTTAATACAAATTCATTAGGTCCTGCCCAGCTTTTGTTTTTATTTGGGCCATGGAGCTCTGATGGCAAGAAATAGAGAGGAGAAATTGGAATGTAGGAATGCCCCAGTTGCCGGGACACTTGATCTGCTTTGCCTCTGAAAGTCTAGACTCTCAAACAGTGTGTTTCCCCTCAGTGGCACATTTTTAAAGATTGCCCATGAACTTTGGAGTCACACAGGTTTAGCTCTAGATATTTACTTCACCACATATTAGCAGTATGACTTTGGCGGATTGCTTGATTTCTGTGTCAATGACTTCGTCTATAAAGTAGGGCTAGTGATGTTTACATCCCAGACTTGTGAGAATTAAGTAGTCTGTATAAAGGATTGCTACACAGTAGATAACAGTTAATGCTTGATTTTTCTTTTTCTTTTTTTCCTGTTGAATTCCCCCCTTAAATGGGGAGTGTAGTGACATGAATTAAGTACTTACTACATTTCATTTTGATGTATAGGTTTAGTCACTGTATTTTTTGAAAAAGAGGGTAAACCTGTAAATGATCTAGGCTGCATAGCAACAGGAACCTCTGGCCTGTTGGAAAATGAGAGACTCACTGGAAAACGAATTGGATGGGGAGTGAAATGATTGGGATTGGGGTAATGGTAATCTTAGGGGATCCCCAGAACCTTTGTTTTCATGGATTACCTGCTCTGCTTACTATAGGGTGTACTGGGAATAGATGTGCTTTAAATGCTTCGCACACTGGGGACTTGGGAGGCAAATGAGAGGAGTTATTCTTTAGGTAGTCCGTGAGTGCTGGTTTGCTGCCCCTAAGCACAAGAGCCAAGTAGACGTTATAAGCTTTTCAAGTGGTTCAGAGATGTGTGTTTCTGGGACATGTTTTTAAACTGAGTGAGATGTGGACAGAGCACTTGTGGGGATCTGACTGTTTGCTTTTGTGTTTAGACCATAGTGAAGATGGACATTTCCATCATGACACCCTGGATCCATCTCCTCCTAGGAGGGTTCGTCATGACAGCCCAGATCCATCCTCTCCCAGGAGGACCCGTCACAATACACCGGATCCATCTCCTCCCAGGAGGGCCCGTCATGACACCCCGGATCCATCTCCTCCCAGGAGGGCCCGTCATGACACCCCGGATCCATCTCCTCCCAGGAGGGCCCGTCATGGCACCCCAGATCCATCTCCTCCTAGGAGGGCCCGTCACGGCACCCCAGATCCATCTCCTCCTAGGAGGGCCCGTCATGATACACCGGATCCATCTCCTCCTAGGAGGGCCCGTCATGACTCAGATGCTTCTCCCCCCAGGAAGTCTCATCGTAATTCTTCAGGTGTATCTCCTAGGAGAGGTCATCATGGTTCCTCAGGTATCTCTTCCCCCAGAAGGGCCCATAACCACTTCCCTGACACAGCCCAACATAGGAGGACTTTTGACGCTTCAGAACCACAGCATCTCAGGAAGACCCGTCATGACTCCCCTAATTTGGAACTTCCCAGAACCAAAAGTAGTAAAGCTGCAGAAAGACCCCAGAGGGAGCTGGGACCCTCCCACCCATCACTCTCCAAGGACAGCAAGTATGGGCGTGACTCTGATCTTTCCCCACGGAAGCGGCAAGCAAAAGCTCATTTTGGAGCTAAGAAGCAGTTTGACCCCAAAGGTGAGCATATGGCTATGCATAAGAGGAACCTCATCCCTGTGAGTATGAGAATGAGAAAAATTACAGGGGTAGGGAGGAAAGGTTGATGTGCTTCTGCTTACCCTTCCTCCCCCATGAAAAGACACTGCTGGGGCAGGTGAGGTGGCTCAGTGGATAAAGCATTCTCTGCGCCAGGGCACTGGAAGGAGAAAACCGACTCTGAATGCTGTCCTCTGACCTCCACAGGCAGGCACCTGCACTCACAAGCACACATGCGCACTTACAGTATGATAAATAAAAATGAAAAATACTGTGTTTGTTGCAGAAATGTATAGACACGGGAAGGTTCTCACAAACTTGTATCATTCAGACACCGTCACTGTTAGTATTGTAGCCAGTGTCCTTGGGGGCTTCCTGGCATGCATGCTGGATGTAGTTGAGTCTGGCTTTGCAGAACGTAATCTTGCTTGCTCCCTCCACTCAACAAAGTTTTCCCTGGGTTATAGATATCTTTATGTTACTGTAATTTTTTTTAAGACTTCTTTATGTTACATAAGTTGACTTAGCCATTTCCCTAAGATTACATGCTTTGGATTATTTCTAGCTTCGCTCTTAGGATGTTTCACAACCATCCTGTCCATATACTGTTACAACAACTATGGATTATTTCTTATCTTAGATCTCTTGGGGTTTTTACTGAGAGGTTCCTAGAAAGCTGAGCAGTTGTTTGCTAGGTCAGAATGTGTGGCCGTTGCTACGGCCTGGTAGGCCAGCAGTGCACTGTCATCCAGAACAGACCTATGCAGTAAAGGTTTTTCTCCTTCATTTGTTCTAGCTACCGTTTTAATTTTTAAGATTAAATTGCTTTGTTATTCTTGAGTCTGAGGACATCAGCTTATACCCCAGACCTTCCTGACTCTGCCATACCACAGAGGGCTGTCCAAGCTAAGCTCTTCTGTCAGTTCTGCACAGAGTGGCAGTAGTGGACCAAAGTATAGATGAGTGTCTGAAATCTCACGTGCTTTTCAAAGTCACCAGACACTGGGGGCCAGGAAACAGAGCCACCTGACCTATTCTTCTCCATGTCACCTGCACTTATGCTTTGGTTAGTCATGTTAGTCATGTTTTTTCATCGGATGACTAAGTAGACACTGTACCCCCGCTTGGTAATTTCTTTTAAACATTCTTCCAAGGGGGTTACTTTATTCTCCCTGGCTCTCCCCTGTGCTGGGGACCAAAATCAGGGCCTGACATACTAGGTTCACTTGACTCCTGAACCATCCCATCCTTAGTTCACTCTTTAATCCTTAGCTTCTCTTAGCCACAGGCTTTCATACAAGCCTTTTCCCTAGGAGACAGCAGGGTCACACTTTGACTGCTCCTTTCTACCCAGGTGTCTGCCACAAAGCCTCTGACTCAGATCTGTCTCCTCCACGGCAAAAACAAAATTCAAGACACCAGGATTCTGACTCAGATCTGTCACCACCACGGAATAGACAGAGACGCCAGAGCTCTGACTCCGACCTCTCTCCACCCCGGAGAAGACAGAGGACCAAGTCTTCTGATTCTGACCTCTCTCCTCCTCGAAGGAGTCCCCGTCCTGGGAAGAAGGTAGGGATTCCAGGAGTTGTGTCTTTATCAGAGTGACTCCTCCTTTCCAGCTTTACAGAAACCAAAAAGGTTGCAGCCAGAGAGTTAGGATGTGGTACAGTAAATGAGTTAAAAGCACTTCTGGAACTTTCACTCTGAAGGTATCACGGCCCTAACTCATCTGAGCTGAATTTGTAAGAAGAGACTTGAGGATGCCTTATCCAGCTACTTGAAGGTTTGAAGGTGTTGCAGATACTGCACAAAATGATGCTCAGAATGTCTTGGATTATGGACTGTTGTGGATTTCCAGTTTTGGGTCAGGAGTGCCTGGCTTGTACCACAGACTCCCAAGAGGCCCTTGCCTTTTATAGCCTTGTAATGCCACAAGTCTCAGTATCCACAGAACGCCTCCCCATTTTTCCCTTTGTTGTTTTGAGTGTACTCCAAGGCTGGCCTTGAACTTCTGACCCGGCTGCCGCCTCCTACCTGATATGACAGGCAGGCACCACCTGTTCTCTTAATAATAAGCTGAGGCTTACGGCTTGCAGAGTTCAGTTGGGAGCATAGAACCCCATGAAACCAGTCATAGCTTTAAATCCTACTTCTGCTACTTAATGTCTGGGAGATTGGGCAAGGAATTTGATTTCTTTAATCTTCAGCTTCCTTTGTGAAACGTGCATGAGTGAGTTCAAGGCCAGCCTGTACTGTGTGGGACACTACAAAGAGAGAAAGAAGGCACGCGTCTTCTTAGCCCCTTCTTCTATGTGCTGTGTGTTTAAATTTACTTTAAAATTTGATACTACAAACTGTTTCATGAGATTAGATGCTTCCCCCTATGGTGTGAGTCTGTGGTCAAAATGAAAATATGAAACTAGAGGGTTTGATTTGGTTATTACTGATGATCAGACATACAAGCAGCTGGCTGCCTCCTGGTTCACTGGTGTTGGCTGTTGCCTCCTCTCTTGCACAGACTGCATACATGTATTCTTTTTTTGCACAGACAGCACACACATGTATTCCTCCTCTCTTGCACAGACTGCACACACATGTATTCCTCTTCTCTTGCACAGACTGCACACACATGTATTCCTCTTCTCTTGCACAGACTGCACACACATGTATTCCTCTTTTTTGCACAGACTGCACACACATGTATTCCTTTTCTCTTGCACAGACTGCACACATGTATTCCTCTTTTTTTGCACAGACTACACACATGTATTCCTCTTCTCTTGCACAGACTACACGCATGTATTCCTCTTCTCTTGCACAGACTACACACATGTATCCTTTTCTCTTGCACAGACTACACACATGTATTCCTCTTCTCTTGCACAGACTGCACACATGTATCCTTTTCTCTTGCACAGACTGCACACATGTATCCTTTTCTCTTGCACAGACTGCACACATGTATTCCTTTTCTCTTGCACAGACTGCACACACTTGTATTCCTTTTCTCTTGCACAGACTGCACACACATGTATTCCTTTTCTCTTGCACAGACTGCACACACATGTATTCCTTTTCTCTTGCACAGACTGCACACACATGTATTCTTTTCTCTTGTACAGACTGCACACACATGTATTCCTCTTCTCTTGCACAGACTGCACACACATGTATTCCTCTTCTCTTGCACAGACTGCACACACATGTATTCCTCTTCTCTTGCACAGACTGCACACACATGTATTCCTCTTCTCTTGCACAGACTGCACACACATGTATTCCTCTTCTCTTGCACAGACTGCACACACATGTATTCCTCTTCTCTTGCACAGACTGCACACACATGTATTCCTCCTCTCTTGCACAGACTGCACACACATGTATTCTTTTCTCTTGCACAGACTGCACACACATGTATTCTTTTCTCTTGTACAGACTGCACACACATGTATTCCTTTTCTCTTGCACAGACTGCACACACATGTATTCTTTTGTACAGACTACATACATGTATTCCTCTTCTCTTGCACAGACTGCACACACATGTATTCCTCCTCTCTTGCACAGACTGCACACACATGTATTCCTTTTCTCTTGCACAGACTGCACACAGATGTATTCTTTTCTCTTGTACAGACTGCACACACATGTATTCCTTTTCTCTTGCACAGACTGCACACACATGTATTCTTTTCTCTTGTACAGACTACATACATGTATTCCTCTTCTCTTGCACAGACTGCACACACATGTATTCCTTTTCTCTTGCACAGACTGCACACACATGTATTCCTTTTCTCTTGCACAGACTGCACACATGTATTCCGGAGCCAAAACTGGGTTGGTGACTGATGTTCAGCGGGAGCAGCAGGAACTCAGGAAACAGGACCAAGACACCACAGCCCTTGGAGGTACAAACGTGAGCGTTCAGGGCCACTTTCAGCTCGTATAGCTCTCTGTCTTTTCTGTTTGTAAGTGTGGCTTGTTGTATTTGCTGGCTGCAACTTTTCATGGCTTCCATGCCTCTGCTCTGGTTTTTGTGCCGTTTCACCTCAGTAGTTGAGGTGCTTCTTTCCCTCTCCATGTGCGTATGTTGGTAGGAGCCACTGTGGCCTGGCTGTGGAGTTCTTACCAGCACGAAGATCCCAAGCAGCTGGTTTCGCATGCTAGAATGTTATTTGATTGTGATGTTTGGTATTTACCTTAAAAATGTGATTTCCTTTCATAGCTCAGTTTGAATTTGCTGAAACTGTATTTCGAGACAAGTCTGGTCGGAAGAGGAATCTGAAACTGGAACGCCTGGAACAGAGGAGAAAAGCAGAGAAGGACTCAGAGCGAGATGAGCTATATGCCCAGTGGGGGAAAGGGTAAGGACTCCTCTGAGCACAAAGCTGTTATGGGGCTGAGCCTCAGGTGCTCAGTCTCCTGAGACAGTTGGGACTCTGGGCTTTTACCCTCTTAGTTACCCTCTGCGGCAACAAAGAGGGAGTTCTCCAGAGTAGTGTAGTGATCCCTCAGTGTAGAAGGAGATTGCCAACCAGGATGCTTCCTTTGGCCCAGGCTTGCCCAGAGCCGGCAACAGCAGCAGAATGTAGAGGATGCAATGAAGGAGATGCAGAAGCCTCTGGCCCGCTATATCGACGACGAAGATCTGGATCGGATGCTGAGAGAACAAGAAAGAGAGGGGGACCCGATGGCCAACTTCATTAAGAAGAATAAGGCCAAGGAGAACAAGCATAAGAAAGGTGAGGTGGCGCTGCCAGAGCCGCAGGTGACCGAGGAGAGAGTTGTCAGGGGCTCTACGTAGCTTCCACAGAGGAGGCTCAGCCGGAATGCCGGTTGGAAGTTTGGGTTCAAAACAACAGGAACTGTTTGGGTGGGAGCTCCACCTCAGCCCCCGGTTTAATTTGGATTGCTGCGTCGGCGGAGAGGCCTTTAGGGTGCAGAGACTTATAAGGAACTTTCATGAAGAATTCTCCCATTGCCATCCAGCTCTGAATGAAATTATGTCAGTAGCTAATTTCTTTTTTTCTCATTCCTGTCTTTAGTGAGGCCTCGCTACAGTGGTCCTGCACCTCCTCCCAATAGATTCAATATCTGGCCTGGATACCGCTGGGATGGAGTGGACAGGTAGATGTGATTCCTCTGTTTTTGTTTTCTCTTTTGCCTGTTGTTTTGTTTGGTTTTTCGACACAGGGTTTCTCTGTGTAGCCCTGGCTGTTCTGGATCTCGCTCTGTAGACCAGACTGGCCTTGAACTCACAGAGATCTGCCTGCTTCTGCTTCCCAAGTGCTGGGATTAAAGGTATGCGCCACAACTGCCCAGCCTTCTTCTGCCTGGCCTTAACCTTTCTTTTCTGTTTTTCTTTTTCTTTTCTTTTCTTTTCTTTTCTTTTCTTTTCTTTTCTTTTCTTTTCTTTTCTTTTCTTTTCTTTTGTTTTTGAGACAGTGTCGCACTGCATGGCCAGGCAGACCTCCAACTCATGCACCGCCTCCTGAGCACTGGGACTCCAGGCCTGGGAAGTACAGCTGGCTTTGCCCACTGTCTCAGATCCTCTAGGCTGTCCTCACTCCCTCCTGCTTTGTGTGCTTCCTTCCTGAGATCAGAGGTTCTAAGGTTGGGAGCATTTCTCCTGTTCCTTTCCATGGACTTTGAAAGGCTCAGGACAAATAACACACTTTGTTTCAAACATTGGTCATGTTTAGTGTTTTCTAAGGGTTGGAGGCTGGGCGAGGCTGTGTGCCGGAGCCTTCTCTGTGTTATGTCTTTAGCATTAATTCTCTTCACTGTCCTAGGTGGAGTCCCAGGTGATGTCTCAGCCCTGCCACCTCATCTGGTTACTTACTAGTGTCTCACTTGTGTGCTCAAGCTTCCTTACTGTCAGGACAGCTTCCGCTTATGGTCAGTCACAGATCCCATCTTCCCTTGCCTACACAGAACATTAGCATTTAGTATGAGGATTCTCAGAGTTTTACATCTCAGGACCCTTGCATACTCTGTGCTAGTGAGATGGCTCTGTGGGGAAAGGCACTTGTTGTCAGGCCTAGTGATGTGAATTCAAGTCTTGGGACCCACGTGGTAGGAGAGAACCATCTCTTAAAAATTGTTTTCTTTACTCCACACACTCATTTGAGTGTGTGTGTGCATCTGTATAAACGAATACATAATTTTAAAAGAGACTATTGAGGATCCCAAGAAGCTTTTATTTATGTGAATTATATATATATTTATAGCCACTACATTAAAATTAAATATATTTAAAAGCATTTATTCACTATAAAAAATAATAGTCACTATATGCTAATATAATTACTATTAGTTTTAATGAAAAGCAATTATTTTCCAAACAAACGGAAAGGGCAGAATTGATTTAACTTTTTGCAAATATAATTAATGTCTAGCTTATAGTGGATAGCTGTTCGAATTTGTCTGCTGTGACATGTTTAGCTGAGGTGCAGGAGGAGAGTGTAGCCTGTGTCAGCAGCAGGAAAGGGGGGTACAATACAGAGAACAAAAGCCAGCTGCTTCAAGGCTGTTAGGTGGGTCCGAAACATGTAAAGAACTTGTGATACTTTTGCATTAAAATTTATGATCTTGTGGCTTTTTTTTTTCTTTGAGACTGAGTCTCTTTATGTAGTCCTGGTGCTCACCTGGAACTCTCTTATTATAGATCAGATTGGCCTTGAACTCATAGAGATCTGCCTGCCAAGTTCTGGGATTAAAGGCATATGCCACCATGCCTGCATACATAATTCATGGTCCCCACCCCCTTTAAGTGTATTTGTTTGTTGGTTTGTTTATGGTTTTGTGTGTGAGTGTTTTGCCTACATGTAAGTGTGCGGGAAGAATGCAATATGGGGCTGGGACTCTGGCAAGGTCCCCTGGAAGAGCAGCCAGTACTCTCAATCCCTGAGCCGTCTCTCAGCCCATGGTATGTTTTTATACTTTGTATCTTTTACCCATGCATCGTATTCTTTCATATAGTGGCCATTTGTAACATGTAGATTTGCTGAGTTTTACAGACCTGCCAAATGTTGGCATGTTTTCATTATGCATCATCAGAAAATCACTTGGGTGGTATATTGAGAAAGTTCTCTGAAGTGCATGATGGATTTTGTTCAGAATATTTTCCCATTCTTTTGCTTCTACCTTGTGCACTTGGTATACATTCTGCAGTTACTTGGGATGGTGGTGCTTTATACAAACCTGTTAGGCTAAGATGCATTAGAGTTTGCAGAGCCCGTGCCCTGATGTCTTAGTTGTTTCTGTCGGTTGCTGTTAGTTGTGAGTGTTTTGTCTCAGCTGGTGTGACTCCACAATTCCCATTTGATGGCTCGTGTATCTCCACTGAGGTTTCCCATCTGCTCACCCATTTAGAGACAGTTTTCATTTTTGGAAAAAACATGTAAATGGTGTTTGAAGTTTCATCTGCTGATTGCAACATTCAATTCACAGGATTGGTTTCTGTTGATGACCTATCCTCCCTCCCTCCCTCCCTCTCCCTCTCCGTTTTGGGGATAGGATCTCAGTCTGTAGGCCAGTCTGGTTTAGAACTGGCTATGTAGCCCAGACTGGTCCTGAGCTCAAGATCTCCCACTATGGCTTCCTGAATGTTGAAATCACATGCTGGTGACACCATCACCGGCTAACAAATTTTCATTTTGTTTTTTTGATTATGTGTTATTTTCCTTTTGGTTTATTTGTGAGTGATACATTGTAGAGACTGGGATTCTGTTACACTTCTCTGCTGATTTTTATCTACAGATATAGACTATATTGAACTCCTGTCTCCCCTGCAGTGGACACTTAACCCCTCACACCTTGCCTCTGGCTGCTGCACTTTCACAGGGCTGGTAGGGTGTCCTCTGCACGTGTGTGTAGTGATTCACTGAAGCCTGATGGGAAGTTTGGTGTGCGGTTGCAGGTTAGCTGGCTGCTGAGCTTTGCTGGTCACACAGCAGAACCTTTGGCAGGAGGATGTTCCCGAAGTCTCACTTGCTGCATACCCAGAGGCGGCTTTTGTTATAGCCACCAGATGTTGCCACCGAATGCCTGCTGTGCTGTTCATTTCTTTGGCTTTATTTAGACCCCAAGCTTAGAACTCTGCCTGACCTAGTTTTGTTGTTGTTTTTCTGGTTTTGGTTTTTTCAGACAGGGTTTCTCTGTGTAGCCCTGGTTGTCCTGGAACTCACTTTGTAGACCAGGCTGGCTTTGAACTCACAGAGATCCGCCTGCCTCTGCCTCCTGAGTGCTGGGATTAAAGGTGTGCGCCACCAAGCCTGGCTAACCTAGTTTTTTTTTTTTTTAATGATTATTCATTCATCTTCTTTTCTGAGTACGTTTTTCAGTCTTTTTGTCTCCTAGATTTTTCGTGTGTGTGTGTGTGTGTGTGTGTGTGTGTGTGTGTAATATTTTGTATGTGTACAAATGTTTTGTCTCAAGGGAAAAATAAATAAGGAAGGGGTGGCAGTGCAGCGAGAGAAGGGTGGGGTGGGGAAAGGAATTTGAGATTTGTGGTCCACTCACCATTTACTTGAACCCCTGCCCCCCGAATTGGCTTCCGTAATGGCCTGTTCCTGCTTCTTCATCATGTCTTGGCCCCTTTGTGAATGACGCTTTCTCTGTTAGTCTTCAGTGTTTCTCATTTCTCCATCTGTAGCCCCCACTGTTCTCACTCCATCTCTTTCTGGCTGCCTCTTACCGAGTCAGGTCTTCAGCCACTGTCTGTCTGTACATGGTTCAGTTCTGTAGTCTAACCCAGGCTAGTGTGTTCATGGTGGAGTCTTCTGCCCATGCACATTTGAGGTACAGAGCATACTCCTTTACACCTGCTTCTGCTCCTGTGCTCTCCAGCCTGTGAGGTGGCATCCTCATTTATCTGGTCACTCAGATACTGACTGATGAGGCCCACTGACCCCCTCCTTGGGCTGTGACTAGTCAGCCGAAGTCCTACTGATTTTGCCTCTCATGTGGTCCCTGCTGTCGTCCTTGGTATCACGGCCTCCATCATTGCCTTCATCTGTTGCACAGGCTGCTGTGGTATCTTCCTTACCACACATTCTAGAATGGTCTCTCTGAAATGCAGTTTTCACCCATCTTTCCCCATGAAATCGTTCTTTTCTTTTTATGATCTCCTAAGCTCACTGGGATCTGGGTTCTGCCTGTCTTTCCAGTTCTGACTCGTGATCACTCCATTTGTCACACTAGGCTCTGGCCACACCAGTGAGCCCTGCCTGGGCCAGGGCTCTTGTTTCTATGTCTGTGTGATGTAGCAGGAATCTTAAAGAGTCTTAATTAATAAAATCAAACCCGGGGCCAGTTATTGGGGTGAAATGCTGGATGGTCAGAGAGACAGAACAAGCCACAGCTAACCTCACCTGGCCAACTTCTCAGCTGGTCTTGTTTCCTCAGACTGGAAGCCTCTGTGTCCTCATATCCGAATGGCTCTCAGCTGAACTGTGCTGCTCAAAACCTAAAAGCTTAACCAGCCAAAAGCTGCTAGTTTCTGGTCCTCACGCCTTATATATCTTTCCTTTCTGCCATCACTCCCTGGGATTAAAGGCGCGTGTCACCATGCCTGGCTGTTTCCAATGTGGCCTTGAACTCTCAGAGATCCAGAGGGATTTCTACCTCGAGTGCTAGGATTAAAGGTGTAAGTGCCATCATTTTCTAGCCTTTGTATCTAGTGGCTGTTCTGTCTCTGACCCCAGATAAGTTTATTAGGGTGCACAATATTTTGGGGAACACAATACCACCACAATGCATGTATTCAGACATAGCTTGGGGGCCATTCCCACAAAGTGTCTTACTCAGTCCTTCCTGATCCTTTTACAACCCCCCATCTGTCTGTGTCACTCAGCCGTGACTTCCGTATTACTTACTCTCTAGTGAGAACTCAGTCATGGTTATTGGATGGTAAGTTATGAAGCCTGTGCACATCAGCTGAGAGTGAGTTGAGTCTTTGTTTTTGTACTGTGTACTGAGCTCAGGGCCTGGCACATGCTAGGCAGGGGCTCTGTCTCTACTACTGTTACATCCCCAGCCTTCATTTTACTTTTATTTATTTATTTGTTTGTTTATTTATTTATTTATTTATTTATTTATTTATTTATTTATTTTCGAGACAGGGTTTCTCTGTAGCCCTGGCTGTCCTGGAACTCACTCTGTAGACCAGGCTGGCCTCAAACTCACAGAGATCCACCTGCCTCTGCCTCCTGGGTGCTGGGATCAAGGGTGTACGCCACCATGCCCAGCTATTTTAGTATTTTTTTGAGGCAGGGCTTCATGAAGTTGTTCAGGCTGACCTTGAACTAACTCTAGCCCATGCAGGCCTTGAACGTGTGATCCTGCTTCCTCGGCCTTTGGAGTATCTGGATTTCAGGCCTAGCTGTATCAGCCTTTGTTAGAGAATCGTGAAGGTTTGAAGCAGTTGTCTAAGTCTGAACAGGGACTGAGAAGAGGTTAACTTGGATGTTTTGTTGCTTTGGTTTTATTGCGTATGGTTTGGCTATTTTCCCGTACCTTTCCTTTCCCCTTTAAGGAAGGATGCAGGGTCTGGCTGACGAGAACTCTCTCTTGGTTGCAGATCCAATGGCTTTGAGCAGAAGCGCTTTGCCAGACTCGCCAGCAAGAAGGCTGTGGAGGAGCTGGCCTACAAGTGGAGTGTGGAGGACATGTGATTCTCCACGGCTGTGCGGTGCTGTGGCGGCAGTGGCGTAGGCTAGCCCGACATCCAGCTCTAATGGTCCAACTTGCTGCCAGTTCTGACCTTTGGACTAGGCACCTAACCTTGGCTGTGTCCATGTTGTCTGTGGCTGGCTTTGACAGGACACGGTGACTTCTTTATTCCAGGGTTTGTTCTAAGCCAGTGTTTCCTTTTTACTTTAAAAAATAAACACATATTTATTTTTTGTAATTATTTCCTAACTGAGTATTCTACTTGGAAAAATGAGCTTCTTGGGGTCTTAGAAGTATTAGTGATTGGTGTTTTCGTTAATTTAGGAAGCTGTGTGAGTAAAATCTTTAGGAGTGATAATCCTTCTGTGCAAATCAGAATTTAGTGTTAAAACAGGTTCAGGAATACTGGAATGTGTGTGGGATAAGGTAGTGAGTGTTACATGTTTGTGGGAAAGGTGTCTAGTGAAGCTCAGAAAATTAGCTTATTATATGTACAAAAATGAAGTGGGATCCATGTCAATCAAACCTAAAGCAATTAAGGGCCCGGATGAAGTGTAGTGCCGTGAAGCTAGAGCATGGCTCCTATGGGCGCCCCCAGCAAGTAATAAAATCTGGAAGGAGCAAGTGATGGGTAGGAACAGCCTGAAGACAGCTCAAACCCCAAGCTGTGGTTGCTCTGACTGCTGCATAATGCAGGGTTCTCCCTGCAGCAGAGCTGGTCATGTCGGAGGTAAAGATGCCTGCAGATTCCAAGCAAACACTGGCAGTCTCTAACAGTGAGTGCATAACAAATGATGCATACATGAAGGATTGACCATATGAGAGAACTCTTCAGCTCAGGAAGGAAAAGACAGCTCTGAAAACAGGAGGAAAATTGATAAAACTAGATAGCTAGTCAGTGGATTGCCTCACTCCCAGTTAACTAAATACAAATTACACCATTTTCTACTCTGCAGCTGTTAGGGTGGCCGAAACAGCCCTTGTGGTGAGTGAAGACTCAATGTCAGCAGCTGTTGGTTGAGGGATGCGGATGGGCAGCACATAGGGGAAGGAAGACTGGGAAGCAGTACTGTGTTGTCTTTTAAGGGTGGGCAGTGGTGCTGTACTGCTGGAAGCTGACTCTGGGCTGTGTCCTTTGCTAGCAGTGTGACCTGTGAGCTGCTTAACCCCTGTGCTTCGCTTCTGTGATTAGAGAGAAGAGTACCTACCTCGTGGGTTTGCTGTGTGTTTACAAGTGCCTGCATATAGTGAATGTCAGCATCATTGTCTTGATTAGCATCAAGTGCAGTAGCCAGCTTCTATGGTGGCTCTTTTGGTCCCTGCTCTCTGGTATTCAAGCCCTTGGGTAGTCCCCTCCCAGAGTAAACAGGGCTAGTTTGTGTCTCCAATAGGATGTGTCAGAACCATGCGACTTCTGAAAGTTCCTAAAAGACATGGATGCACTGCCCTCTCGGATGGCTTGGTGTGAAGAAAGGATCTCCCTGTGGACACTGCAGCAGCCCTCCAGGGGCCATGTGAACACAGGCCTTCCCCAGGCCAGCAGCAAGTGGAAGCCACCCAGGCAGGCCTTAGGTGCAGCCCTCCTCTATAACTTGACCCAGGCCTGCAAGGGCAGAGCCACCAGTTAAAGCTCTGGGACTTAAGCTGTGAGGATAGATGTTTCATGTTTTCTGAAAAGCGTGTAGCTTATTGAGATGAATTACACAGGGTATGGTCTTTTCAGTGTAGAATCAATTTGTTTTAACACATCATGGAGCTGGGCAGCCATCAGCACAATGAATTTGCAAGTAGTGTTATCTTGTGGATACTGGCAACGTGTCCATTCCTGGTCACTCGTCACTTCCCTGTCTACCTCTGCCCTGGATAACTCCTGGCCTGCTTCTCACCTCCCAGGATATGCTACTTTGACATTGATGTGATGTGAGTACAACTGTCCTCTAACGTGGCTTTTTGTGTCTGGCTGCTTTCATGTCACATGTTTCCACGTTCTATCTGTGTTGTGACATCCCTTTCTCTCTTTTGACTGACTATTTCTGTGTGTGTTTATCACACACATTTTAATGATGATTTGATGGTTACAAAATGTTTCCATTTTTGATTGTTATAAATACTGCTGCTATGAATCAATATACGAGGTTTTGGGTGGATGATTTTCTTTTTCCTAGAGATATATGTATATATGGTGTGTGTGTGTGTGTGTGTGTGTGTGTGTGTGTGTGTGTGTGTGTGTGTACACACACACACACACACACACACAGACTTACGAGTGAGATCATCAAGTCATATGGACCTCCATGTTTTAACTTGTTGAACTGCCAACTTTCTTCCCGAGAGTATATGAAAGTTTTGATTTCTCTGCACCCTTGTATTTCCTGTTTTTATTACAGCTATTCTGGTGGGTGGAAGGTGACAAATCTGTGATTTTGATTTCCGTAATGGCTAATGATGTTGAGTGTCTTTATATATCTTCATGTTTATTGAGGGACTTTGCCCATTTTTTATGTATATATGAGGACCCTGTACATGTATATACACATGTATATTATATGTGTATAAATATATGTATATGTACTGTCCTAGGGTTTCTATTGCTGTGAAGAAACACTATGACCATGGCATCTCTTATAAAGGAAAACATTTAATTGGGGTGGCTTACAGTTTCAGAAGTTTATCATCATGGTGGTATGCAGGCAGACATGGTGCTGGAGAAGGAGCTGAGAGTTCTACATCTTGATCCACAGACAACAGAAAATTAACTGTGACAGTGGGCATATTCTGAGCATAGGAGACCTCAAAACCCACCCCCACAGTGACACACTTCCTCCAACAAGGCCACACCTACTCTGACAAGGCCACTTCTAATAGTGCCACGTCCTTTTGGGGCTAATTTCTTTCAAACCACCACATATACACACTTGGTTTTTTTCTTTTCTGAGACAGTCTTACTATATAGCTCCGGCTGTCCTAGAACTCACCATGTAGACCAGGCTGGCCTTGAACTCACAGAAATATGCCTGTCTCTGCCTTCTGAGTACTGGGATTAAAGGTGTGTACCACCACACTTAACTTGTACACTCTTTTCATGTAAAGGATTATTTCTGGAGTGTTGGGAGTATGGCTCAGTGGTAGAATGTTTACGTAGCTTGTGCCTCGTGTAAGCCTTGGATTCAATACCCCAAACTACAGTAATACGGAGATTTCATATTTGGATAACCAGTCCCTCACCAGATACATGATTCTCATCTGTGAGTTATTGTTAGAAGCTGCTACAACCCCTGAGGTAGATAATTTGCCCGGGGCGGGGCAAGCATTAACGTGCTATATACAGCACTGGGTTTGTAAGCAGGGCATGGTGGCCCATGACTGAAATCCTAGCACTTGTGAGGTAGAGGAAGGCCAGGATCATAGGCTAGCCGGGATCATGGGAGACCTTCTTTCAAAAGCAAGCAAATGTGCAGGAGAGTAGTCCATTCCTGACTATGTCCTTCAGAGGAACTCTATGAACTAGTGACATATAAGAATATGTGTACTTGGGGTGAGTGTTGTAGCAGGAATCAAGAAGTAATGTGGGCACCTGTTCCTAAAGGGACTGGTAGGTACAGATTCATATGCCGGAAGACTGCTTTGTTTTTAAAGTGGGTAACAGCACTTGCTATAAAGCCTGACAACCTTAGTTTGTACTCTGGGACCCACATGGTGGGGAGAACTTCCATACAGTCACACGCATACCTGCTCACAAACACAAAACAATGTAACTTAAAAAAGGACATTGAAGCCGGGCGGTGGTGGCGCACGCCTTTAATCCCAGCACTTAGGAGGCGGAGGCAGGTGGATCTCTGTGAGTTCGAGGCCAGCCTGGGCTACAGAGTGAGTTCCAGGACAGGCACTAAAGCCACACAGAGAAACCCTGTCTCGAAACAAACGAAAGAGGACATTGAAGACAGCATGAGGTGACCAGGAGTGTCCGCCCGCCCGCCCGCCCACCCCACGACACGTGCCGCTACAAGGAACAAATATGTGACGGAGAGGTGGGAGAGGAAGCAGAGCGGTTCATTCCCTGCCGAGAGAGGGAGAACTGGAAGCGCGATGTGATCTGGGGGTGTGGCCCTACTGCTGTTGGGGACTGTGTTTCCACCAAAGGCCATGCGGATGTCAATCCATGGTCTGGGCTTCATGGTCTGGGCTGCCACCTGAAGCCGTGTTGATGTTCAGTGCCTTGCTGAGCTGGCCCCGCCCCTTGCCAGCCACAGCACTTGGGAAAGTGACTCCCACCCCTCAGCTGCTACTGTGCAGTGGTGTAGGCAGTGACATGGTGCGGGGTGGGGGGGAGGCCAGGGGGAGACCAGGACTCACCAACTCAGCTACTGCCTAGGCCCAGGTCCAGGGCTTTGAGTTGGCCCACCCCAACACCTACTCCATCTACGAGCTGCTGGATCCCGTGAAGGGGCCCATCCTGCGGAACCATAGCTACAGGATCTCCATGACATGGCAATGTCAGCATATCTGAGAGGAGTCTTGGTAGGGATCCAGTGACGATGGGGTACCAGAAGCAGAGGCCTTGAACCAAACCAACGACTCATTGCGATGAACATTAGCAAGTGAAGCTGTTTGGGCAAAAGGTTAGACTGCATGATGCACCCCAGCTCCCAATGCCACTATGATGAACGAATATATGGGGGAAAGTCAGGAAAGATGAGGAGGCGGAGTGGTGTAAGTTCAGCAGAACTGGAGACGTGAAAGCTGTGACTGGTTTGAGAGACAGCGGCAATTAATATAGGAACAGGTTGTTGCCCAGAGGGGTCGGTGGCTTGATGTGTTTTGTTTTTGCATATTTGTTCACACTGACACTCTGAGACTGCCAATAAAGTTAAACCTTGAATCAGAGGGCGCAGTCAACATTCTGCAGTTGGCCAGAATTAGCCATAGAGGTTTTGGAGGACTGAGCTAGGAGGGCACAGGAAGTAATAGGGAGGGGCTTTGAAAGCTGCGTAATCATTTAAATCTGGAGATGTGGAGAGGCACAGTCAGCTGATTGATCCTCTGTCCTCTTTGGATCTACTACCAAGTTTTTACCCCAATATCTGACTCCCGAGTTTTATTTAATAATACAACAACGTAAGTAATCACTTCATCTGGCGATCAACGTGTGGTGAATACTCCTTGCCCCTGTGTGTCACTGGCTTTTTCTGTTAGGGGATTTTGTTTCCATTGTGGTCTATCTGCAATAGCTGCACCTGGGCTGCAAACCCCGGCCCCAAATGCTGCAGTCGCAGCTGCCTGCTGGCCCTGCAGCCAGAGGCTGCTGTGACCCCAGCACCCGATGTGCTAGCTTGGCTGCCTGGGCACCCACCACCACAGCTGAGCACCTCTGTTAGAGCTGGCTAACATCTCCCCCCCCCCCCCCCCTCCTCTCACAAACAGCTCTACCATTGCCTTAGTCGCTGCTATGGACAGAGTCATCAGATCTGGTCAGACACTTGGGAATTCTTAAGGAGGAAATTAGGTTTTATTAAAAAAAAAAAAAGTCTTTCCCATGTTAAGAATGGGGAACAATATTATGATGCAGGAAGTTAGGATTCTGTATGATTCCACAATGGATGGTTGGAAACAGGAAAAAATAAGTGACGTAGCTGGGATTGATATTATGTTGACTATAATTATTATCAGTTTGGTAATTTGTGTTTTGTCCTTTAAAAGGTGATTTGATATCTGTGCCAAATATGAAAAGTTGGCTGATAAGATAAGCTTAGAAAAACCTACCAATGAAAGTAAGAAAAGTCTCACACAGACAGAGGAATTTAGATCAGAACCTACTGCACCATGGCATAATGAAACTGAAGAGGAGTGGTCCAAGGTTATTAGAAAACCAACCTTACTTTATCTAGTTACCATACAGGAATGACCACCAGATGATAGGCATCCCCAAGGCTATGCAGAATTTAACTGGAATCCTGTAAAAGTTTTAGATTTGAAGAAATTTAAAGATGCAGTTATTTCAAAAGAGCTTACAGTAATTTTTTTGGGAGAGAATAGCAGCAAATATCCCAAAAGCCAGAGATTTCAGTTTATAAAAAGAACTAATTGAATCCTTCCTCCCTTACATTGTATGAGGAACACCAGTTTCTGGAGCTCCTGCATTCTATATTGAATGCAAATAAATTAGGAAAAGCAGGTTATAAGTCAGGAAAAATAAGTAAGGTGATTTGATATCTGTGCTCAAAGCCCTTATGATTCCATTCAGAAGTCAGAATTATATGCTATTCTTACGGTATTATTAGATTTTCTAGAACCTCTTAATATATTACTGACTCTCAATATGCATAAAGAGTTGTTTTATATATTTAAATCGCTGAACTTATTCTAAATTATTCAGAATTAACTTTGTTATTTATTCAGTTATAACAAGTAATCAAAAATAGAAATCATCCCTTGTATATAACACGTAAGATCCCATACGGATCTACCAGGCCCTTTAGCAGAAGGTGATGATGAAATTGATCAGCTAACGATAGGAAATGTGCTAGAAGCCTCAGAATTTCATAAAAATGCCATGTTAAAAGCAAGGGTTTGAAGATATAGTTCTCTATCACTTGACAACAAGCAAAGGAATTATAAGAAAATATCCTATTTGCTTTTTGTATAACCAAACCCCATTACCTGAAGGAAGTAATCCAAAAGGTACTCAAAGAAATTAAATTTGGCAAGTGGATGTGTTTCATCCACTTTGTGATGTTTGGAAAATTAGGATTTCAATGGGCAACTGCTTTGAGTTCTGAAAAGGCTGTTTCTGCAATTAAACATTTATTAGAAGTTATTGCCATTATGGGAATACCTGTACAAATTAAGACTGACAATACTCCAGCATATGTCTCTAGTAAAATGAAACAATGTTTTGCATATTACAACATAAAGCATATTACAGATATGCCACACAATCCTATAGGGCAAGTAGTTATAGTAAGATCTAGTTGTACTTTAAAAGATATACTTAATAAACTGAAAGGGGTAATAAAGACCCCCAGAGATAGATTACACAATACTTTAATAACCTTAAATTTTTTAAATGCTAATGAGAAAGGATTGACAGCTGCAGAGAGACATTGAATATTAGAAAAAGAACTGCTGAG